GATCATGACCTGAGCCAAAGGCAGATGCTTAGTGACTGAGCCACTTAGGCGCCCCCCAAAAAGCTATTTTAACTCAAATAACTATTTATTTACTTACTTTTAATTATCTAATTATTTACATACAGGCATACCTTGCAGGTTCAGTTTCCGATCACCCCAACAAAATGAGTATCGCAATAAAGCGAGTCCAATGAATTGGCCTTCTCAGTGCATACAGTAGCTATGTTTACACTAAATTACCAAAATGTGACACAGAGACATAAAGTGAGTAATAAGTGCAGGAAAAACCTCGACTTGCTCCACGAGGGGTTGCCAAAACCTTCCATGTGTGCAGAAAGGCAGTATCTGAGAAGCATAAGAAAATGAGGTGTGTCTGCTGGGGGCGCCTGACAGGCCAGGTCTGAGGAGTGCTCGACTCTTGATCTCAGGGGTCACGGGTTCAAGCCCCACTCTGGGTGCAGAGATGACCTAAATAAATCAAAGGGTTTTGTTGTTGTTTGTTTTTTTTTTAAGATCCCATCTATTTATTTGACAGACAGAGATCACAAGTAGGCAGAGAGGCAGGCAGAGAGAGAGGAAGGGAAGCAGGCTCCCCGCTGAGCAGAGAGCCCGATGCGGGGGCTTGATCCCAGGGCCCTGAGATCATGACCTGAGCCAAAGGCAGAGGCTTTAACCCACTGAGCCACCCAGGCGCCCCTATACCTCATTTTTAAAAAGATTTTATTTATTTGACAGAGCTACTGAGCAAGTGAGCGAGAGAGAACACAAACAGGGGGAGCAGCAGGCAGAAGGAGGCAAGGGCCTTGAGGTGTTATTACTATTCTCAGTCTTTCCAGTGACATGTTTTGTTGGTAAAATAGGGCTTTGTGCAAAGGTTGGGAGGCCAGAGCAGCGGATTAGTGGTAATGGAGGTTGTGGTGCCCTGGGGAAGGCAGGAGAGCCTCATTACGAACGGCCCTTGCCTGAACTTCCTTTTTCATTTTTTCTGAGAGTCCCGACATTCCAGTTGCTTTTTACCCACCCCTTGTGCCACTAGTGAGATGTGAGTCATATCCGGTTTTCAGTTTTCCGGGTAATTACAATTCAACCGTGAGTCAGTGGGGTGAGGGGTGAACCGGGGTCCGAGGGAGTCATCCTGTTGAGATCAGTAGTTGGGCAATTCGGTTATCAGTTTGTGTAACCACAGCACATTCCAAAGCTTAACACATTCCCTTCTCTCTTATTTTTTCTCTTACTCATTCTCCTTTTCACCTGGGCTGTCCAACACAACTTCCAAATATTTGCTAGCCAAAGATGGGGCAAGACCTCACCATCAGGAAGACCCCGACCTTACTTTTTATCAGGACAGGTCATCCAAGAGCTAGCCCACAGCTCCGGACAAGGTTTGAATAAAAAGCTAAGAGTGGGGGCGCCTGGGTGGCTCAGTGGGTTAAGTCTCTGCCTTCGGCTCGGGTCATGATCTCAGGGTCCTGGGATCGAGCCCTGCATCGGGCTCTCTGTTCAGCGGGGAGCCTGCTTCCCCTTCTCTCTCTGCCTGCCTCTCTGCCTACTTGTGATCTCGCTCTCTGTCAAATAAATAAATAAATAAATCTTAAAAAAAAAAAAAAAAAAGCTAAGAGGGGCACCTGGGTGGCTCAGTGGGTTAAAGCCTCTGCCTTTGGCTCAGGTCATGATCTCAGGGCCCTGGGATCGAGCCGGCATCAGGATCTCTGCTTAGCAGGGAGCCTGCTTCCTCCTCTCTTTCTGCCTGCTTCTCTGCCTACTTGTGATCTCTGTCTCTCAAATAAATAAATAAAATCTTTACAAAAAAAAAAAAAAGCTAATGAATTTTACTGTTAACAGGTGTAGCCAGGCAACAGTCAGCTGAGAAATTAATCAATCCCATGGCCTTCCTAGTGGGGACAGGGATCAGGAACAGCAAGTGCCGAGAGACAGGACATCAGATGAGTGTCCCCACAGCAGACAGCACCGTTCTGAGCAAGGGGACAGAGCCCGTCCTGTTAGCCGCATCACCACCCGAGGAAACCTCAGGGCTTCCTCCCTGTTGGACAAGCAAGGTTTGTGTTTTACTTGTCGGTTTCACTTGAATTCCAGTAAAAGCAAACTGGAGCGCCCACTCCACTATCTCCTCATGCTGGGGATGCCTAAAATTACACAGAAACCACACACCCACCCCCCAAGTGCCTAAATCTCTAAACTCTAGCCTTTAAGTCTCTCCTGTCACATGTGACAAGCCAGGAACAAGGTCATTGAAACAGAAAAGGAGACTGCCCAGTTCTGCTTTTTCTCCAGCATGCAAATGAGGTGGTAAAATGCTTTCTATGTTTTCTTTCCCATGCTACTGAAGATGTTCCTCAGGAGAATCAAAATTATAGACAGAATCATTTCCTTGAAAAAAGAAATGGCTGGTGCTAACAGACTCAGTGGAATACGAATGAGAAATCAATTTGCCAGTGTGTTTTTCCAAACTAGGTGATGCCAAGGCATTTTCCTCAGGCGTGATCTCAGTGGAAGATTTTGTGGTCGGCTCCTTTGGGGAGGGCTTTGTTTCTGTGATGGTCCCTTGCTGCTTACTTCCACAGTGTCTTATCAACAAATGTGACGTCCTTGACAGCCCAGGGAGGGAAAGTGTGGACGCTATTATTGTGCTTAACAAGGGATAAGAAAGCCGTCAAAGCCCTAAGCAATAAAGGCATCTAGATTAGGATCTTATCAAGGGAGGAATCCTACAGATTAGAGCCGGAATATCCTGGAAAGGCAGAATGATCCACGTAATTCCCCTTAAAGGTCTGTAGTCTCAAAAAAGGTTCTCCCTTTCTCCAGTGTTGCCCCGCAAGAAAAGTGTGCCCAGCAATGACCAATGAATCTCCCCAGGGCGTGTTGCTGAAACAGACACAGCTCTTAGCGAGATGCTCCACTTTTCTGAATTTGGGTGTGCCCTGGGCATACAGGATACTCCGCACACAACTGTTAAGTGGTTTGGATCTGGCTAAGTGAAGGCATGCAGTCCAGATTCCAACAACTCCCATTTCCAAGGGAAAAGAACAAGAAATCCCATCCCCCTCCTACCGCCCCACCCCCAAAATGCTTTAAAGACCGCTAAGGAGCACACTGGGGCAGCCAGGGCTGTTAACACCAGAGAAGTAGCTTCTGGCCCTCAGGAGTCTGGGGAACACATCAGGACTCTGAGCCTCCCTGAGAACATGGGAGGCCACTCACTGAGAGAGAAAACTGAAGTAAAGCAACACATCCTGCTCAAGGCATCACCGCCCCGAGTTCCTCTTAGGGATGAAAAAATCAAGAGCCGAGAGAATCGACAGAGAGCTTTCAGGAGGTGCATTTCCAATTTGGGGGGCACAGCTCATCAAAGGAACACCAAAATTGGACAAATCAAGCAGCGGACCCCAGAGCAGCTCTGGACAAGACTAGAATCCCAGTCAGGGCTTGAAGGGCTAAGCAGCCCGGTCCCACTGGCCCTTCCCAAAACTGCTCCTCCTGCAGTTGTATCAGAACCCCAAGGAGAGCGGAAACTAAAGCCAGCAACCGCATCTTGCTCAAGACTCGACTGCCATGATTTCCTCTTAGGGATGGAGTCCATCAGCGTTTGAAATACAAGTCAATTAAATGCCTCTTGACAAGCTATGCTCCCTCCTCATCACGCAACTGGGTGGCGGAGTTAATCCCAACAACCCCCGGCAGCAACCTCAGGGAAAACCGACGTGTCACTGATAGGAATTCCACGAGGTCACAGCTCCCGGCACAAAGCCGCCCCTCTCCTCCCGTCAATACAAAAAGTTTCCCGCAATCCTGTTATCAGAGAATCCCAATTCTTTTCGGGGCTACTCGGGTTCTAAGTAGGAAATGAACCATTTATCTCAGGTCCAGGGCGAGGTCAAATGCCTCCGGCAACTCAGAGCCACTGGGTAACTCAGGACCGCTAGCACCAACTAGCCTCGCTCAACTAAACCCATTCAGAAGCTTCTGAACCAAAAAAGGCCACCCTGAGGGATCCGTCCGACGTTGCCGCCTCCCGGTTCCTGCCCCGGTGGAAGGTCTCCGCGAATTTCCCTTCGGGGGCAACCGAGGAGGGACGGGCGTTTCGGAGGCCACGTTTCGGCTCCGGGAGGAACGGAGGCCCTGAGGGTGGCCTGGGGGCGCGTAGGTGAATTCGACCCAGGCCGGGGCAGCGAGGGCGGCCTCCAGGACAAAAGGGGCTCGCCTGTGCTCGCGGAGGAGACTTCGGGGGCCCGGGACGCGTCGCCCGCTTTGTTGTGACAGGCAACCGGGACGGACGCTAGGGAACGCGGGCGGTCGCCTCACCTGAGCCAAGGGCGGTGGGAGTCCCCAGCCTCACCTCGAGCCCCGCCCCGCGCGCCCCCCAACGCCGCATCCACCGCCCCCTATTGGCCAAGGGGAGTGGCTCGAGGCTCGCGTGTTCCGATCGCGCCCAATGGGAGCTCGGGGACTGGCCCTCGGGGGCCGGAGGCGGGGCTGGAGGCGGTGGCCACCGGCCGAAGCGCGCGTGCGGCGCCTGTGAGGAAACAACGCATCGGACCCCGGGCTCCAGGGCAGCCCTAGAGGGTTACAAAGCCACCTGAGCCGCCTGGAGCATTTCTGTCCGCGGGGGGGACGCGAGGGCGCCCGCAGAGAACCACTCCCCAGGCTGAGCCCCCGAGGTCCTGGTAGTCCTCACCCCAGAACAACTCGGTGGGGGCGTCCCTGCCTCCCTACGGCTGGAGGGCCCCGTGTCCCGCTCTGAAGAAGGGGGTCCCCCCATCTGGCGGAGACTCCTGGGAAAAGCCTCACCTGCTTCTCGTGACCTCCCCACATCTCCAAACCCTCGCAGTCCTTCAACCGTTTGGATGGGACTAAGTGCCGTTTCCCCCACACATCTTTCAAGGATGGGGTGGTTTTCCGCAGCTCCCAGAGTTACCAAGGGGCTCCCCGAGTTCTGGGGGGGTCACACCCCATGGCATGCGGACGCTTGGAGCCAACCTTACCTGCCGCCCCCATCGCTGCGAGGAGCAGGGCGGCGGTCCAGCACAGCCCCCAGCCTGCGGGTCTCATGCTCCCAGCCTCCGCCCTCGAAAGCGCCAGCCCCGGGCTCGGTCCGTAAAGTCCGTGCGGGAAAGGCGGGCTTCGAGCCGTCGGGTGGCAAATGCGTGCGGGGCCCCAGTCATTTGCAGCATTTCTATGAGAGTTTCCTCGCAGGGGGAGGAGCTTGCGGTGGGGTGATTTTGGAATATCTTCGCCTCACTGCGGGAGGAGGAGTTTCGAGAGGAGGAGTTTGGAACGGCCGATGCGACTAGGGCTGGTTAACCCTTGAAGTCCTGACTCGGATTCCAGTCTTTTCCAAAACTTGCTTCCAAATCATCTAACAGGCTAACGACCATCTATCTCCCCTCTGCCTCCAACGGAAAAACGAGACGTCAGAAACTTTACCCTCTCCTTTCTCTACTTGCTTTTTCCTTTCTAGGAATCGTATATATAGATTTTAACTGAGTTTAATCCCGTATAGTTTTGAGACGATTCTTCAGAATTGGTCTAAATAGGACTCGGTGAGGAATTTAAATAAAATCTTCACAAACGTTTCAGCCCCAAACTGATCTTGTCTTGTGGGATCCAGCACTTGGATGAATACCAGCGAAAGCATCTCTAAAATCAATTTATCCGTCCGTGGTCTGGACATAAATACGGATTTGTTCTTTTAGGAGAAAATGTTAAACAGGCTGCTGCTTCCTCTCCCCAAAGCAAAAATCAAAATAAGGGTGCCCGGGTGGTTCAGTGGGTTAAGCCTCTGCCTTCAGCTCTGGTCCTGGGATCGGCCCCAAGTTGGGGGGTCTCTGCTCGGCAGGGAGCCTGCTTCCCTTCCTCTCTCTGCCTGCCTCTCTGCCTACTTGTGATCTCTCTCTCTCTGTCAAATAAATAAATAAAATATTTTTTAAAAAAATCAAAATAAAACAGTTTTTAGCGTTGAACCTGATTGCCTTAATCACAGAGGGTTGATGGAGAACAGCTTTTAAGAATCAGAGTCTTGAGGGCACCTGGGTGGCTCAGTGGGTTAAAGCTTCTGCCTTCGGCTCAGGTCATGATCCCAGGGTCCTGGGATCCAGCCCAGCAGCTCCTCATTGGGCTCTCTGCTTATGGGGAGCCTGTTTCTCCCTCTCCCTCTGCCTGCTGCTTCCCCTGCTTGTGCATGCTCTCTGTCTCCGTCAAATAAATAAAATCTTGGGCTCTTGGGTGTCTCAGATGGTTAAGCCTCTGCCTTCTGCTTGGGTCATGATCCCGGGGTCCTGAGACTGAGTCCCACATCTGGCTCCCTGCTCAGGGGGAAGCCTGCTTCTCCCTCTGCCTCTCTCTCTGTGTCTCTCATGAATAAATAAATAAAATTTATTTTTTTTTAAAGATTTTATTTATTTATTTGACAGAGAGAGATCACAAGTAGACAGAGGCAGGCAGAGAGAGAGAGAGAGGGAAGCAGGCTCCCTGCTAAGCAGAGAGCCCGATGCGGGACTCGATCCCAGGACCCTGAGATCATGACCTGAGCCGAAGGCAGCGGCTTAACCCACTGAGCCACCCAGGCGCCCAATAAATAAAAATCTTAAAAAAAAAAAAAAAAAAAAAAGCCTTGGAAAAAAAAAAAAGAATCAGTCTCCTTTGGGACTCATGAAGTTTCCAAGACCCCTTGCCAAAAAGGTGTGAGAATCTTGCCTGAACCCCATAAAGGGTCTGGCAAATCTTGGGTGGGTCCCCCAGGAACAAGCAAAGTCCTCTGAAGTTTTACAGATTGAGCTTGGCTGAATATACTAATCTCTCAGCAGGCTTTTGGGGAAACCCCCCCCCCCAGAGGAGGCAAAAAAAGAGGTAGAAAGGGGACAACTGAACCCTCAGAGAAAAAAAAAAAGGGTGGTTAATCCAGAGTAAGAAAGAGCAGTTAAGAGCCCCCTTTCAGAATCAGACAGACCCTGGGTGAGTAAATGAGCTTTTCCAAGGTGGAAAGGGGAGGAAATAATGCTTGTTTCCTTTACTTGGCAGGTTCTGTGAGGGGGTCAAATGAGATAATTAGCAATTACTTAGGAAAATTTGTGGGGTTTTGTTTGTTTTATTTTGTTTTTTAAGATTTTTACTTATTTATTTGACAGTGCACAGGCAGAGGGAGCTGCAGGGAGAGGGAGAAGCAGGCTCCTTACTGAGCAGGGAACCCAACTTCGGGCTGGAACCCAGCTCAGGGCTTGATCCCAGGACCCTAGGATCATGACCTGAGCTGAAGGCAGACACCTAAATGACGGAAACATGATCCGCCCCTTTTCTTGAGGATTTTATTTTTAAGTCATTTCTACACCCAATGTGAGGCTCAAATTTACAACCCCAAAATCGAGAGTCACATGCCGTATTGATAGCCCGAGAAGCACCCTTCAAATTTCTCATTTTTATGCTGTTATTCTCACTGCCACTTTAAAAAAAAAAACTTAATTTATTTATTTGACAGACAGAGATCACAAGTAGGCAGAGAGGCAGGCAGACAGAGAGGGGGAAGCAGGCTCCCCACTGAGCAGAGATCCCTGAGATCATGACTTGAGCCAAAGGCAGAGGCTTTAACCCACTGAGCCACTCAGGCGCCCCAACACTGCCACGGTTTTGGAAACCTGTATTGCACCTTCAATCTAATAATAAATATTAGTTTGGTTTTTTTTTATATTAGTTTTCTAAACAAACAAAAATCCTTCCACAGAATCCATTTCATTTGAAAGTGGCTGGGCTTGCATAATCCTCATTCCAATGGACACCCTGCCTTGTCCTGGTTTTTACCTCTAATTCATGGGGAGGCTCAGACCAGAGTGAGCCTCTGCCCAGAGGCACCTGGCCTTTGGCAGAAGTGAGCCATGCCAGCTGCAGCCTGCCCTTTGGCCCAGAAGTCTGCAGAGAGGTAAGTATTCATGGTGACCTTGGCGTGTTCCCATAGGTGTGATCAAGGACCTGACTCTATGCGGCCTTCAGTTATCTCCATCAGACGCCCATTAGCCACGTGAGAGCCGAGGCCCTGGCTTCCATCTCCAGCGCCTGGCTCTGGTAAGGTAAGGAAAATAAGGGAAAATAAAGGAATTATCATTGGCAAGGCTGCCCTATCAGAGATGCACTGTTTCTGAATTCCACTTCTGTTAGGATTTTGATAATGCAGAACTCAACTTTGATCCCCAGCTGATAGTCTTTCCTTTCAAACATAACAGATGGGGGCGCCTGGGTGGCTCATTCCATTAAGCGCCTACCTTCTGCTCAGGTCGTGAGATCAAGCCCCATGTTGGGCTCTGTGCCCAGAGGAGAGTCTGCTTGGGATTCTCTCTCTCCCTCTGCCCCTTACCTCTCTTCAAGGGCTCACTAAAGGAGTAAATAAATAAATGAATAAATACGTGAATGAATAAATAAATAAAATATAATGTAAAAAAAAAAACCAACTTCCACACTGAAAGCTAAAAAACATTACTGAGTGAAATTCAGGGGTGCCTAGCTGGCTGAGTCAGTTAAGTGCCTGCCTTTGACTCAAGGTCATGATCCTGGGGTCCTGGAATCGAGCCCTGCATTGGTCTCCCTGCTCAGCTGGGGAGCCTCCTTTTCCCTCTGCCTACTGCTCCCCCTGCTTGTGCTCTCACACACTCTCTCCCTCTGTCAAATAAATAAACAGAATCTTTTAAAAAATTTAAAAAGACAAATAAATGGAAAGACATCACAGGTTCATTGATTGGAAGACTTCGTATTGTTAATGTCACCACTACCCAAAGCACTCTACAGATTCAGTGTAATCCGTATCAAATGTCCCATGACGTTATTAGCAGAAATAGAAAAATCCACCCTAAAATTCATATAGAATCTTAAGAGACCCCAAATAAACAAAATGATCTTAAGAACAAAGTCAGATGGGGTGCCTAGGGGGTTCAGTGGGTTAAGACTCTGCCTTCGGCTCAGGTCGTGGTCTCAGGGTCCTGGGATCGAGCCGAGCAATAGGCTCTCTGCTCAGCAGGGAGCCTGCTTCCCCCTCTCTCTCTGCCTTCTTCTCTGCCTACTTGTGATCTCTCTCTGTTAAATAAATAAATAAAATCTTAAAAAACAAAACAAAGCACTATGGTACTGGCATAAAGACAGACAAATAGACCAAAGGACTAGGATAGATAGCCCAGAAATGAACCATGCATATCTGGTCCAATGAATTTTTATAAAGGCGCCAAGATCATTCAATGAGGTCAGGGCGGTCTTTTCAATAAATGGTGTTGGGAAAACTGGATATTCACATGCACAGTGATGTAGTTGGACAAGTCTTACTTTCAGCAGGTACAAAAATTAACTCAAAATGGAACAAAGACATAAAAGGAAGAACTAAAATTATAAAACTCTTAGAAGAAAAAAATAGGAATATGTCTTCATAACACTGGATTTCACGATCATTTCTTGGATGTGACACCAAAAGGGCAGGCAATGAAAGAAAAAATAGGTAAGGGGGATTTCAGAAAAGTTAAAAACGATCATGCATCAGAGGACACTCTCAACAGAATGGAAAGGCAATGTACGGAATCAGACCAGATAATTGCTCATCCTGTATCTGGTAAGGGTCTAGCATCCAATATACGTAAAGAATCCCTACAACTCGGGACGCCTGGGTGGCTCAGTTGGTTAAGCAGCTGCCTTCGGCTTAGGTCATGATCCCAGCGTCCTGGGATCGAGTCCCGCATCGGGCTCCTTGCTCGGCAGGGAGCCTGCTTCTCCCTCTGCCTCTGCCTGCCACTCTGTCTGCCTGTGCTTGCTCTCTCTCTCTCTCTCTCTCTCTGACAAATAAATAAACAAAATCTTAAAAAAAAAAAAAAAAGAATCCCTACAACTCAACAGTAAAACAGACATTCCAATTTAAAAAATGAGGAAAAGACTTGAATACTCATTTCTCCAAAGAAGACATAAAAATGACCAGTAAGGAGCACCTGAGTGGCAGAGTTGGTTGAATGTCTACCTTCAGCTCAGGTCATGATCCCAGGGTCCTGGGATCGAGCCCTGTATCAGGCGCCCTTCTCTGCAGGAGCC